GGGCCAGCCTATTAGCCGCCCTCCCTAGAGAGTCACAAAAACCCTTCCCACTCGCCGTATGACGCATATGATCCGCAACGCGCCCCTGGACACTATCTGATCGCAGATGGTTGGGTAATATTTTGCTTTTCACTGGCCCGGGACTGGCTTTTCATTTGGGATGTGGAGGAGGCATCGAGAAGTAATAACAGGCGCAGAGAAAGAGAACGAGGGAGAGAGAGAGAGAGAGAGAGAGAGAGAGAGAGAGAGAGGACACTGGCGTAAATTCAGCAAGTTTCGTAAATACAAAATTCCGAGAGGTTGCAATACCAAGTAATCGACAAATATGGGCCTCAACTCCGCAAAAGGATATGCAAATTGACCTTAAAAAGTAGATATCCGATTCAATGTAATATTAAACACTGAAAAACTGGTTTAAATAATGGTTTTTACTTAAAAAGTTAACGGGGATAAGTTTGGTTAAAAGTTCCTTTTAGATTTAATCGAAAAAAGTTCGGGTCTTCCTGAAAACTACGTCTAAAATTTAATCTACGACCTGTAAAGGAAAAATCTTTTGAAAGAAGGTTTTTAACTCCAAAAGCCGTGCGAAATAACGATTGCATAATCGTTGGATATCGTATAATAATTAATCGTTAAAAATACGTGTCCTATTGACTTCTAAAGTTATATTATACAACTTAACCCATTTAAAAATCAATCAAAAAGGGATTCAATAAACAGGCCAAACAACGAAAAATAGAATAATCGTTTCCATGTCCGATACCAAGTAATCGTGAAAAGTATTGGACCATATGGGCCGCGATTGCTCATAAAAACAAACAGAAACCCAGAAAACCATCGGGTAATGCTTTGGGAGGAAGTAGGAGACGACTCCCTTCGTTTCCTCCCCTCACATCTGTGTGTGGATGTCTGTCTTTTCTGTCCATTCAGCCCATCGATTCCATCACAGCTGAGAAGACCCCGCAGGGTGATGGGGGAAAGGGGATCCCAACAACGCACAACGCTCCCGTGTTCGTAGTACGGCCCCGTACTGGGTGTAGCAAGTGCGGCACCCAAAACTGGTTCTTCTACCTGGGCTGACGTCGAAGCCGAATGCCGCTGGAAAATGCCAATCACACCCCACCGCCCGTCCATCGACCGAGTAAATAGTAGCTGGGGGTCGCCTGGGACCGAGTCGTGGCCATCGCCGTTCTCGCATTTCAGGTTTTAGCTCGGGGGATCGGGGGCTTGGGGTGGAACAGGGAATCAAGGATTTTGCAGGCTACCATTTTGCAGACTAAAAAGATTTTGGACGAAATTTTAGCAATTTTAACGATTGCTAGGAGCGAGATAAGTGCAGAAGCAGAGAAAGGGAGTGAGAGCCAGTGAGAGAGATGAGAGAGAGAATGCGAACGAGAGCGATAGAGAGCGAGAAAGTGAGAGAGCGAGAGATAGAGAGATAGAGAGTGAGAGAGGGCCAGAGTGACAGAGGGAGAGATAGCGAGAGACAGGCATACAGAGAAAGAGAGAGAGAGACAGAGAGGTATAGAGAGATAGGTTTTAGAGCTATAGAGATAGCTAGAGAATGAGTCAGAAGAGAGACGGGGAGATTAGCAGGAGAATGGAAAAAGGCCAGAGAAGGAGAAAGGAAATAGAGAGTTAGAGTGTCCTAGAAAAAAGAGAACGAGACGCACTCATGTGAAGCACTCTTCTTTTCTAGCTTCCTTTACGTTTTCCTATTAAAAAGTTTTACATTATTGACAAAATTCCCGGCATAATACATCACCTCTTTATTATTTACATGAATTATAACGTTTAAAACAATACCCGTAACCATATCGAGACACACAAAACGGCGAAAAGAAGAAAAATACGTATTAAGACAGTCTGAATTAAATTTTAATATTAGTGAACGCGGCGGCCATCTTCTTCTTGAGCACGGCCTCGTTGAGGATGAAATCGGCGGCCAGCTCGACGTACCCATCGTCTACCCGCAGCGTCGGGTTGACGAATTCAAGTTGGTCCTGAAAGGACGGAAATTGAGATCGAGACAGAGCGAGAAAGCGAGAGGAGAGCGCGAGAGAGAGAAAAAGAACTCCATACAAAAAATATTACCCTGATCGGAAATGGTATTCCGCGCTTTAGCCCTTGCCCGACTTGAGGGACGACAAAGTTCTTCGCCAGCGGGGCGAGACCCTCGATGGTGGACGGGTCGAGGTCGGGCAGGTTACTGCGATGTAGGTGCACGTTCAGTTTGTTCAGCTTCATGTCGCCTGGAAAGCTGGTATTTGGGAAATGAGTCGCTAACGGGGTATTCTTAGGAAGCTAGTGAACTGCTTGAAATCGTCGTGGCAAGAAACTGAAGGAATTTTGTGAGAGAGCGAGAGAGAGAGAGGGAGATGAGAAATAGCGAGATCAACCTCCATAGCCTACCGCGGTTCTGAAACTGGGTACTGCCCTAACACTGAACTGCTCGAACTCGCCGGCTCGAGAAACTAGCGTAATAGGGTAGCCTACCATTAATGCGTAGCCCCCACAAACCTGATAACTTTCCATCCTTGGCTAGCAGCTGCAAATCGGCCTGCCCATCCGCTGACGCCACCATGATCTGGCGTTCGAACCCGTTGTCGTCGACATAGGTGATGATTCGGGCTGAAATGTGGGGGTTACTGTAGAAATACCAGATTTACTACTTACTGGAAAGTGTAATGGCCCCGGCATCTCCATTGAACTGAAAATCTGGCAGTCCGTGGGGGAGCAGGACGAAGGAGGTATTTGAGTCGGGGAAGGCTTCCTGAAATTTAAGGTTATATATCGTCTCTCTCTCCCTCTCTCTCTCCCTCTCTCTCTCTCTCTCACCGAAATAGCCGGTACCAGCCGCCCGATACAGTACTGGCTGATGACATCACGGGCTTTCCGCTTCGCACATGCCGTCGATAGGAATCCCTTGTAGCGTTCGGGAAGATTGTCGGAGTTTAACTTAAATCGCGTTTAAAACCGAATTTGTGCATTACCTCCATATTGAGCTTATTCTTTTGGTAGGCATGGTAGAGGAGGGAGTTAAAGAGATAATCCGAGCCGTAGAAGTACAGCATTCTGTCGGTAGATTCGGGGGTGAGCATTGGTCTGGAAAAGCGAAAGATATAGGGGAGAGAGCGAACTAGAGAGAGAGCGAGAGAGAGAGCGTGAGAGAGAAAAGAGAGAGAGGGTGAGAAAGAGCGATAGACAGAGAGAGAGGGGGAAACGAGTACGAGAGAGACACATAGAGTGAGAGAGGTGAAGAGAGAGAGAGAGAGAGAGAGAGCGAGAGAGAGAGAGCGAGAAAGAGAGACAGACAGACTGAGAAAGAGAGAAAGAGAGAATTCGAGAGATTTACGGTATTTCTCCTGTACTTACCTTGGGAAGAACGGCGTCGAATATTCACTATCCTCGTACCGTACCTCGCCTATAACTTAACATACCTTAAAAGTTCATTTTCCCACCTTTCATCTGCATCTCAAAGTACTCAAACGTCACGATCGGATCGGCAATGTTCCGATTGTCAATGTAGAGGCCGGAGACAAAGTTTTGGATAAAACTGAGCTTTCGATTTTTGAGCTCTGGGCAACACTTACTCTTGCAGCAGCCCGCTCTCCGTGATCGGCGTCTTGAAGCTCTCATGCAAATTGGTTTTGCTTAGCCTGAAAAAGGACATCTAGACAGCTTAAAGGGACAATCACACGCCAAAATTTCAAACTCCCAACCTCGCAAAAATCTTCGGCGAATTTGTCTCGATCAGGTTCTTCAGCTTTCTGCAGAACATATTCGGTATCCGCCTGCCGATACCCTCGTTGATTTGGGCCTAAAAATCGGAGCATTTAGCCACGATTCCGTTGCACTACCTCGAACGCCTTGATGAGGCCGCCGGTCGGGCCGGTGGGGTAGATGTTGAAATGGGATTGTTGGATGATTGTTGAGCAGTTGGAGACGCGGACTGTTACCATGCCTGAAAGTGGGAAATGGGCTTATTCTTCGGC